AATGAGCATGAAACTGAGCAAACTCAGGGAGGCAGTGAAGGACAGGAAGGCCTGGCGCAATATGGTTCATGGGGTCACGAAGAGTCGGACACGACTTAACGACTAAACAACAACAACAAAAATTGATCTATTGGACTAGACCCAACTCTAGTCACCTCTGTAGGAATGGTATCAAGGATTACACTGAGATTAATTGAATATAAGCATCTCTAGTGAATGTGCTTGTACATATTACCTAACCACCAGGAGGCAGTATGTGACCTGTTTCATTCTTAGTGGGACTCATCAGGTACTTGTAGCCATTGAAATTAGCATAGCAATTCCTCTGCTAGGAACTGAACTCACAGACCACTCTCCTTTATACAGTGCACCAAGATTTAGGAACTATAACAGCCTTGGGAATCTAGATTACTTGACCACCAGGGAATCAAGTAATATGTAAAGCCACAGGAATGTATACTGAAATAATCTCTCCCCCCTGCCACTCTGGGGTGTAGAATCATGAAACCTCCAGTATGAGGGCATGACATACTAACAGTTCTATCTCTCTAGTCTGAGAGGTCATATAAAGGAAGATGTATACTACCTATGTGGCGAATGTGCAGACTGCAAACCTCCTTCCAAATTCACTGGAAGCCAACTAGCATCTGAGTTTCAGTATATTTCAAAAGGAAAATATGTCTCTATAGAGATGTCTTTGGCCCTTAGACATAACCAGGTGCACCAATCCCTCCCTCTCCTGAATAGAAAAAAAATATTTTTTTTAACTTAGAGGCAGAATTCTGAGAAACTGGACTGAGGCAAGAAACAAATGCGATTTAACGTCTTCCCACAATTTCAGAATTAACTGACTAGAATTCCAGGAAAAAGGGAAATCCAGGTATATGGAAGTAGTCTTGCTTATTTCTCTGGATATAGGAAACACTTTAGCCAGGAATCTGTGTTAGACCTTTGATTTATTTTGCTGTAGTCTTTTGTACCTATGTCTTTGAACAAACTGGAGAATGGTATATAATATCCACAGTTGCCATGTATTTTGGATTGTCTTCATTAAACTAGCTTTAAACCATTTTTCTGTGATAAAAGCCTGACCCTAGGAATAAATGAATAATTTGTAGTGGTCAACCACCATCTTGTGGTCCAACTGGAACACTACATCTTATTTTAGATTTTTTTTCCTTTTAAACTTGTTTGGAAACAGCTGTTCTACAGAAGCAGTTCTGCATTTTTCTCAATAGGAAATGGTTGCATATTAATATTTGAAATTAAAAAGGTTATTTTTTATTTTAAATAAAATTTGTAGTAAAAAGTAGCCCAATGTTGTTATGGTTGAGGGGGAGGGGCACAGTAGAGAGGTGCATGACATTGTAGCATAGTACTCCAGCGATATGAACCAGCCTCCTGATGTGCTGGGGATCCCAGGGAGGCCAGACAAATTTTATTTGAATCATCTTCTCCAGGATTTAAAATCGGCTATTACCTCTGCAGTAGCTAAATTTTGTGTTGCCACAATGAAAATAAGGCAAAAATGGTTAAAGTAATTGGTTTAAGAAAATCATTTTTATTTTTACTCCTAATATCACATTCAGATCGGTATTTCTTAATTAATCAGTTGCTAGGGGATATTTAGTCTATATCATAGTTTTTAGTTTTTAAACTTATTACTTGGGTAATGTATTAATATGGTAATAGAGGAGTGTATGTAATATTATTACGTGATTTGTCTTTTAGTATATTGTTGTATCAATTTGTTTTACTCTGTTACCATTCTCTTAAATTCGCTAGTCACTGACTGAATAAAGATGTGTTCTGATGTGCTGGGGAATTTTTTTAGAGACAGAGGTTTATCCTTCTGTCATAACACAGGCTGTGGGCAATATAGCATGTAGATCTTCAGAAATTATTGTGCTTTTACATACTGTAGGATTAAAGCTCTATGATGATGTGTCTTATATATTACCTAGAGAACAAAACATAGGGATGTCATATTTCATTTATTTATTTATACTGTTTACATTTTTTATACGAGTTCTCATGAGCTCCATGGTGACCATGGGCTTGTCCCAGGGTATCTCAGGCTCAATATATGTAGGCAGTCATATATCATATCATATATATGTTGTCATGTCAAATCAAATCTTTATTACGGTCATAGACCAGCATAAAGAATTGTGTATGAATTGGGCAGCCACAGAATCAAATCAACTAGATGACACTAGATGAAGCATCAGATGAGACATCCAAAGCACTGGGAGAGAAAAATGAAAAACAAACCTAACTGAGCATGAGCATGAGTCCTAATTCAAGCCTACACTGTTGTGGTAAGGAAGGCAAAGTACTTGTATTTCTTCCTTATTGTATCAGTGGGCTAACAGCAGGTAGCTTTCTTTAAGGTTGCAAGCCCTTTTAGAGAGGGGTAAGCAAATAGATCTCCAACCTGGCTACAACATTTTTACACATGATTTTGCCTACAAAATCACTCAGATTCACCTGTCTTAGTTATGCCAAGATCTGATGTGGAAATTGCTCTAATCCAACAGTTTACAAACTGGTAAGGAACTTCAATGATTCACCATATAGGTAGTACTCCATCTGACAGAAGTGTTGCCCAAATGCTGTCATGGTACATCCTGCTTTAAAATTGATAAATGCTATGTGTGTTTCAAGTAATTATTGGAATTGCAGTTTGAATTTTGTCAAATTGCAAATATTTGGTCAGTGCGTCTACACCCAGATCTAAATACAGCTTGATTTTCTCTAGTTCTTTTATTCCTTTTAGTTAACAGATTGAGATTGAGAAGTAGAATTTCACATTTAATATTCTAATTTCAGCAGACTACCTCTGTTTTGCTTTCTTTCTTGAGTAATGGGATAACTGCCATTTTCTATTTTTTTGGCAAGGTTTTATTTTCCCATATTTTCCCTAATAAAACTTCAAGACTGGAAACCAAAGATACCATGGCAGTCTTATTGTGCCTTCTCATTCTTGAAGCATCTAATGGCTTTTTTGGATTTTGTCCAATCTTGGTGAGATTTCATCTACAAAATAAATTTCTGAATTGAATTTGAGTAGTACTAGCATCCAGAGTTCGTTGAGCTGAGCAGTTTAGAAGTTCTTTGAAATATTTCTCCTACTGTTCTAACTTGTCTTTCTTGTTGCATAGAAGTCTGGCATTTTCATCTATTACATTGCTGTATATTTCCTCTCCAGTTTTTTCATAAGCTGTAACAGTTACCTTTCTATTTTTTTTTTAATTCTGTTGCTTTTGGTTCCAATATACTTCCTTATCTTGTCTAGCTTTTTAACTAAACCAGTGTTACTTTGGAATCAGGCAATACTTAAATTGAATTAAATAAACCACCCAGGTTCATTTACACTATATTTGCACTATAAGTAACATATTTTCACATTAGACCAGTGGCTCTCTAATTGCTCATGTTGGTGTGCTCTTAAGTCCTTCACATTGTTTTCACATTCTTTTTGAAAGGTGTCATCAGTATCTAGGCACTTAACTTGCTAATATTTAATCATTTAATTCAGTTTGATTTTCTATATTTAACTTAAATATATACTTAAATATATACTTATTCAGCATATTTAGTGATATTTATTCCCCCTAAACAACTGTCAGTAACAGAATTCTGAAATTTCTGCATAATCAGGATACGGTCTATTTGATTTCTTGTTCATTTACTGGCTTCAAATTTATGGCTGTCTATGAACTGATAAAGCTGAGTTGATAAAGCTCCTCCAACTCCATGTTGACCAGATTCAGTTGTGGATCCACTGTAATAGAATTAAAAGCTGGTACTGTATTTCAATTACGACAGTGCCTTCATTTGGTATTCAGACATAATGGTCTGTTTGCAACAGAGTTCAGACATTAGGCCAATGATATTGATTGGCCTTCAAAAATGGTTGTTGGGTTTTGTTGATACTTTCTAAGAATGCCATGCAATGGACGGTTTAACTGGCTTTTTATTCCTGCTAGAGGAATTTATATTGCCCCAGATTGAAAAATCACAATATATTCAATTAAAAGTTTTGTTGCTTTCAGAACTTGGTCCAGGTGAATTAGGATTATCTAAGCTTCCTGATCTACTGTCAGCACTTATATTTTAGATTAGTTTAAGTTTACAGCATTGAACTACAAACAAAGAGTATTATAAAGATAAACATTAGGTCCTGTATTTGGAAGAATTTTGGAACAATTGGAATATTTCACATCAAGTTAAGTTAGGAATGGTTAAATTTGTGGTATTGAGGTTAAGGGGTTGGATTGGCACATGGGAGACCAAGCTCCACCCTCAGCCACAAAAACTCACTGGTTAACTTCAAGCCAGTCATTCTTTCTCAGTGTAACCTACTTCATAGTTTGTTGTTCTGGGAAAAAAATGGGAGGAAAAAGTGCTGCTTCTAAACAAAAGATGGGATTTCCCTTCAGCTTCTAAACAAAAGATGGGATTTAAATCTAACAATCAATTCTACATAATTTATATAAATTCTAATAATGAATATATGATCTAAAGATATAATGAATACAATAAAATATTTTATTCATGTTTCTTGGGCACTTCACAAAATGTTAAAATCTCTTGGCTCCTTATACTCCAAGTATAAAATGGGTGAGAGGATGCTTTATATGATAGGGGCTTCTCCCACTATTGACCCATTTAGGGTTAATAGTGTATACTTTTGTTAATATGGTGCTGAAAATCTTAATACAGTTTAAAGAAGGCCTTTGCAGAAATTCATCTGGTGTGCCAATTGCACCCATACTTCGACTAGGAGGCCATTAAGACAGTCACTCATGTTTTAGTCACCTCACATTTAGAGTATTGCAATTACTATACATGGGGCTGCCCTTGAAGACCACTCAGAAGCTGCAGCTGGTCCAGAATGAGCAGTTGTGAACATGACATGGCATGCCCATATAACACCTCTGATCCATGAGTTTGACTGGTTACCAGTAGGCTTTCAGCTGCAATTCAAGGTGCTGGTTATCACCTATAAAGCCCTTTATGGCACAGGTCTGGTTATCCAAGGAACCAACACCTTGTGTAGTTTCTGCCCATCCCATACCCTAACCCTCTTTTAACTTCTTTTAATTGCATTTTATGTATATTTTATATGTTTATGTATGTCAAAGACCACAATAAAGTTTACTTACCTACCTACCAGCATATCCCATATAATTAAACAGTGTCACCTGATGGGACCCAGAAAATCTAGAGCCTGCACTCTAGAATGCACCTGATGGGAACCAGTATGTCATTCTAGAGCCTGCACTCTAGAATGACATACCTCAGAGATTTGTATGGTACTCATCATGACCTATTTAAATGAGCCCTTAAAACTTGGCTCTTCCCCCAAGCTTTAGTCTAGAATCAGTGACAGACCCCTGTGGGATGATTGTATATTTTTTTTCCATTACTCTTTCATATTGGTATTACAGTAGACCCTAGCATTGATAACCTTGGGTTGATGATATATATCTTATATATTCATCAATAAGCTAAGAATTTTAGGTGCCAAAATACACTTAAACAATTGGGTTGAGCTAATCCATGGATGGGCTTATCTGCAAGTATGTACAGTAATACTTTTATAAAGTACCCATGTATCCCATATATATTCACATATAATCCCATCCATGGATAAACCGACTCTGAAATTTTTAACCAAAATACCATGAAAAATTGATAATCTGTGGATTATCCATGGGTAAGCCAATTGTGAAAATTAAAACATACAGAAATGGTCAGCTTGTCTGCCTGTCAGTATCTGCGGGTGGCACATTTTCCATGGTATTTTGGTTAAAAATTTGTGGATTGGCTTATACATGGATGGGCTTATATGCAAGTATACATGGTATTCACTTTCTATATATGACCAGGGTCTCTTGACCAACATAAAGAAAAGATTGATCTGTATTCCACATAATCCAGGTTTAACAATGTGCTTAAAAATTGAGCTGTTTCTTCTGTTTTAATTTTGGGGAGGTGGTGGAGCAGGGGGTAGTTTTTTTCTTTTGTCTTTCAGTTGTATATTAAAGTAATAAAATAGCCCAGGTAGCATCTAGAGTTTGTTTAAAGCAAATTCACTGAAAAGAAAGTCCAGTACATAAATAAACATAAAGCAATTAATAAAACTTCTGAGTAATCAATTTCTTTTCTGAGAAATTAGACTATACCTGTATTTGGAATCAATGACCCTTTATATTATGCCATTAGAGGAATATTTTAAAATGTTATCAGCTCCCATATACTCCTAGGACTCAAACATGCTTTCTGTCAATATTTGAACAGCATGTTCTTGTATCTCTGTCAGTATGAGCTTAATTTTTACAAACTGAGAGGAAACCAAAAGTTTCTCTTTGTGCTGTGTTACAAAAGCAGTGCCAAGTCCACACTTACCAGTCCCAGACGAAAAACCTGGGCTTTGAAAATTATAATTCTTGATTTCACTATACCATCTGTCAGCTACTTCACTTCCTGCAAAACAAATAAAACAGCACAGTATGGATGAACTCTGAAAAATATTCTTCTCTTCTCTTCTCTTCTCTTCTCTTCTCTTCTCTTCTCTTCTCTTCTCTTCTCTTCTCTTCTC